AAGTCCCTAGCAGATTACCTGGGATCTCAGAGTACCCAAGGGATGAGAAATACACTGAACCAGGCTGAGAAATAAAGCAATGCACTGAAGTATGCCCATCCTTACCACTTTCCAAGACTGAATGCCCAGGAGAAGCTTGTACACTTAAAAAGGTAAGTGTAGCAGTGTGTGTTGTTTAAGTTGGGATTTTGTATGGAAACATCAAGCTGGCCAATTAAGCATTAAATTGGCCAAAGGTAAGCAGAATCAAAAGCAACTGCCAATTTCTGGTAGTAAAAAGTTCCAATTTCCATGTCTTCCACAGTCAAATAATATCTTCAGGGAGACTATTACGAAGAGTTTGTATCCTCTTCATTTCTTCAAACACATTCTTTCTGTGACACTGACTGTGTGAGACACTGACAATATAAACATGAACAGATAAGATCCTGACCCTCAGCTAACTCAAACCATTAACAGCTACAGAAGTAGAAATACACAACAAGTTATAATACCACACAGAAAGTGTTGTGCTTGTGGCTCTCACTGACTGATTCTGGGGTGCTAAAAGTACCTATTAGGTGTCAAGAGCCGTGCTAGGTGGTACAGGTACAGAGACGAATAGTGACAGGAACTCTACTTCCCAAAGAGGTCACAGTCTGGTAGGAAAAGAGCAGGTGACTATGACAGCATTTCTCCCCAAGCTGTGATGAAAGAAAGGAATAATCTCAGTCTGACTAGAGGAGTCAAGAAAGACCTCGAGAAAAGATGCTGACTGAACCAAGGAATGAAAGGATGAGCAGGAGCCCAGATATGAGTGGGGGAGAACAAGCAACCGCATAGGGCTAAGCACAAAAGTATGAATGTGCATGTCATCTTTACAGAACAGAAAAGGAGCAACCTGTTAAAAAACAGAAGGTTGAGGGCATGAGAGAGAGGGTAAATGATGTGCCAGAAAAAGATCAAGAACAGATTATGAAGGGTCCTAAGAGACATTAACTCTTTTTAGGTACTAAAGAACCAACATACCCGGGAAGCCAGTGACTCAGTGGTAAAGAAGCTACCTGCCAATGGAGACCCTGGTTCGATCCCTGGGTCGGGAAGATCCCCTGGAGGAGGAAATGGCAACCCACTCCAGTATTCTTGCCTGGAGAATCCCATGGACAGAGGAACCTGGTAGGCTACAGTCCATGGGGTTGCAAAGAGTTGAACACAAATGAGTGACTGAGCATGCAAGAACCAACACGGATTTTTAGCCTGGAAATGAGATCAGTTTGTGTTTTAAAAGATGGATGGGGAAAAATGAACTAGACAGGGAGAAAGACTATGGACAGGAAGGCTGACATATCAGTTCAGGGGAGAAGTGGGCTGACCACAGGGCAATGTCAACAGAAACAAAGAAAGAATACGAAATTATTGCAAAGGCAGAACCAATATGACTTAGAAAGTGACTAGATAGGAAGTATAGAGGTGGGATTATGGATGTGAATACTGATGCCTAGGTCTTCATCTTGGAAGCCCAGGTAGGTGGAATTACAGAAAAAAATAGGTTTGAAGGATAAAGACGAGATTAGTTTGGGACCTACAGAGTTTGAGGTATCATTGGGACATTGACAGAATGCTAAGTAAGCAAGAAGTCTAGACCTGGAACTCAAGAGAGAATTCTGGACTTGACAAACAGAACAGGAGTCATCAACAAATGGACTAACCTTTCAGGGGTCATGGACTATTGAGGATCGACTGAATCTACAAACTCTCCAGAAAAGAAATTTTCTATACACTTTCAGGGGCTTCACTGACCCACCAAAGACCATTCACAAATCCTAGATTAAGAACTCTAGCACAGACAGAAGACAAAAAGCAGCATATATGGCAGTGAAGAAGGGGATCAGGAGTAGAACCAAACACAACCAGTAATCCAAGCAGTGAGCAGATGAAGAGGAGCCTGGAAGAAACTAACAAGTGGCTACAGATTCAGGGAGACTAGCAGAGGCCTCATGATGGTCAGCATCACCAGATGAGAGAATGATGTCAAACAGGATCAACACTACTAGTCACAACCGTGAGGTGTTCACTGGACACACATATATAGAAGGGCTACAGTTTCATGCAATTATATAACCTACCTCCTGGAGGAATACTCTCCCCCAGTGACAGTTTCTTGATGAATCCATAAACACTCAGAACTCACTTTCCCTTTTCCTAACAAATACTTCTCTTCCTACAAACTAAAGTTATCCATTTGTGTAATGGGTGACTTTAGGTTCAAGTACAATCTTTAACAAAAAATCAGAGCAAATCTAACAGACTTGCATACATAATCCCGAAACTTCATGGCAGCTAGAGCTTCAGTTTTCCTCTACTTTGCTTTCAGCCATAAATGAGGAGCAAAAAATAATTTTATCTTCAATTCCTAGACATTATGACCAGTAAGTACTACCCAGGACAGCTGTAATTAGCAATTACTGTATAACCTTCCAAAGAAATCCTACTTAAGCCTCAGACTACAAAAGTTGATTGCTGTCTTTACATTTTTAATTCCCCTGGCACATCAGCATCATCAGGCAAAATAATGGCTGAAGTAAATAGTACTGTTGATACTGATACTTCTAGGAGCCATCAGTGGAAGTTCCCAAGCTTCTGGATTTTTCCAAATGATGAGACTTCCCAAACTGAAAAATCACAGGGCAACAAGAAAGGTCAGCAGAAAATTAAAATGTGCTTTAAGAAAACTTGGATATTTCTAATGAGGTTATGGCCACAAAACACAGCTATTTTTCAAACTCTTTAAGAATCTATAAAATCCCCTTTTTTCCTCTATCCTTTCTCATTTTTTTACTTCTTTCTTCAAGTGATCTTAGCATCTACCTATTTTACTTCTGAAAATAAGCATAAATATTTTTTGCATTGTCTGTAAATGCAAAATCTAAACCATATTCATTTAATTCTTGTCATATATCATCTTCTTTCTGATCTCCCTCCAATCAAAATTACTTTGAAGGTATTTTAGAAAAGATATAACTTTTTATTTCAGAATTAACAAACTAAAGGTTATAAAAGAAATTTCAATTCAAGGGTTCAGATAAATCAAGACTATGATCCTTTTTTCTGAAAAAGAAAAAAGGTCACTGGTAGGCTTAGAGTTAAAGCTCCCAGGTCTGCTGGGTGGTATTTTCCATCGCAAGACCCTGCAAATTAATAGGAAGTCACACAGTCAGACTTGTTCTTTGGCTGGGACAGCAAATATTTACAACTCTTCAAACAGTAAGCTATTAGCCAAAATTGGAAAAACATTTCTTTGTACTTATCTCAACAGTCACTTATAAAAATGCATTGTAGGAGAATTCCCTTCTCTATATAGAATTAACACCCTGACATAGATGTGTAATTTCAAAATATGGAAAAACACTGTATTTGTAAGAACACAGATTGGTAATAAAAGGTTCCTTTTTCATTACAACCAGATGCATTTTCAGCCCTTTTCCCACCAACTCAAACTCCACCCTCAGCTGGCAAACTTTTCTTGTTTTATTATTTTAGCAAGTGATCCTTCTTAAATACTTCTCTACCTCAGTCTTTCTAAAGCATTAGCAACCGAAGGAATAAAACCACACTGAAACACACACACAGAAAGAAAAGTAACTTCATAAAGCACCTGGCCAAAGATACTGTCTCAATATTTAGGAATCTCACATTCCAGGTCAAGTTTCTTAACAGATGCATACAACTATGTTGGAAAAAAACAAAAATGAATTTTGAAAGTTATGAAAAATATGACTATAAAACTTATTTCAAAGAAGACATTTCAGAGAAAATAGTCTCCTAGAAGAGACTGATGAAAACTACATTAGAATTGTTAGGACTGGCACAAAAAGAAGGGACATTTTTGAAAGACAACCAAAAGTCAGAAAAATAAGTCCCCCAGTTTGTAAAAGCTAACAAAAAGGAGGAGCTATTTCTGTGCGAAAGCAGTCAAGCAGCAGCCAGTGCCCCCTCCAAGCATTTCTTTCCCAGCTCAGGAAATTCTGAATTCACTTGCACGAACAGCAAGCTGCATTGCCTAAGGAACATGCACTCTGCCTGGGCCTTCCTGGTTTTGCCCTGCACTGGCACCGTCACTTTGGGCGTGTAACTTAATTGCTCCTTGTCTGTATTTCTTCATCTGAAAAATACAGACTAAAAGAATATCCACCTTTTGGTGTTGTGGTGAGGATAAAATAAGTTTTTAGACATATAAAGTGTTTAGACAGTACGCTGCATCAATTAAGTGCTATGACATGTTAACTAAGGCTAACCTTCCATTTGAAGTCTTTACAATGTCACGGACCCAACTTTGGCCTGTCGACAAGCTCCACCCAAGTGATCTGCTTTCCACATGGCCCTCCTACCTCTGTCTTCAGTGACTCCCCACTATCTGCAGCACACATCTTTACTCGGGAAGATCCCAGGTGATGATCCTTTCCAATGTGAGCTCCAACCTTTCCAATGTGAATTCCTATCACTATTCCCCAAGACAACGGAAACAGACTGATCGAGCCACTGACCCCTAGATGGTGACTGCATTCACACATTCCTCACTGAATCCAAACTATCATCACCAAAGTCTTTTAAGGACCATTTGGAGCACCTCTCTCTTAGAATCATCTCAATGATTCCACTTTTCTTTTCATTTCTGTCTGTCTGTCCTGGAAGACTCATCAGCACTTATGGAAGTAAGTGATCAGCTTTGTGTGTAGCTTTGTGCTGTGCTAAATCGCTTCAGTCATGCCCGACTCTTTGTGATCCCATGGACTGTGGCCCACCAGGCTCCTCTGTCCAAGAGATTCTCCAGGCAAGAATACTAGAGTAGGTTGCCATGCTCTTCTCCAGGGGACATTCCGGTATGGGTAGCTTTACTCTCCCCAAAACTATTAAATGTTGTGGGACAAGGTACTAAATATTTCTTTCAGTCTTTTTCAATGATATGCTAATATTAGGAACTCAAATGAAATTCCCGGAACTATGAGGAAACTCAATCTTACTTGAACTGTTACAACTGCTGCTCCCTGGCACTTTTTACCACTACTGCCTCTGCACTCCAAGTGTAGTGTGGTCTGTTCTTCTCGATTAACATACTGCTTGGGCATTGTGTCCAACAGTTCACTATCCAGCGCCACCTGCTGAGATTCCCGAAGAGCTGCAGTTCTGAAAAACATCATCAGAAGTTATTTTAAAAGTCTTAGTAAAAACTTTATGATAAGTGATAAAGGCTTCCAGTCACCCTCAGCCTGCATCGGTGAACACTAACACACAAGAATTTCACAGTAACAAGAGACCAAAAGTGTGTGCTAAGACTTACCCAAACCCTCTCCCTGGCAGTCACTGGCTAGCAAGAAAGTTAAGAAAGGAAAGAAAAGTGTGACTTTTTAGCTGGAAACAAAGCTCCATTTAAAATTTGTGTTATATCAACATTTTTTTTTTTAATGAATCCTTAAGTACACAAGAACAAATGAGAATTTCATGCTAATTTAATCATCCTACGGGGGAACCTTATTTTTAAGTACCAGTGACTTCCCTGGTAGCTCAGTGGTAAAGAATCCACCTGCCAATGCAAGAGACGCAGGTTCAAGCCCTGGGTCAGGAAGATCCCCTAGAGAAGGAAATGGCAACCCACTCCAGTATTCTTGCCTGGGAAATCACACGGACAGAGAAGTCTGGCAAGCTTCAGTCCATGGGGTCGCAAAAGAGTTGGACACAATTTAGCAACTGAACACACATATAGTGACTTCTTAGGTATTAGCAACTCAAACTGACATGTGGAAGACCAGATAAGCTAGTTTTCAACACTGTCCTAACTGTATTATTTCAGTAATCTGCAAGTAGCCTGTGTGGTGTGGTGCAAACAACACACATGATACTAGAATAAACCAAAAACACCAATAGAAGATTGATTCCTATGAGTTTTGCAAAGATAAACTCTTTCACTTTATAAATAAAACAGACTTACTACACACACACAATCCTCCTCACATGATCACAAGCTAAAATCAAAACAAACAGCTGATCATTCTGTATCCACCATGAACTCAGAATATTAAATGAGTATTTCCTGCCCTTACATCAAGTTATCTATGTAATTTTTAAAAGAATTCAGACATTTAGAGAGCAAAGCAGTGACAAAAGAGAATAAATCTCATTCTGTTACCTTTGAACACCATCTTTCCAATATTATGTGGTTTCCTCAGGGGAAGCCTAAGAAAAAATTTAGCTGGCACTACTGAAACAGAAATGGCACAAGAAACACGTACAATTTACAGAGTACATGGAAACCCACATAATTCTATGTGAAATGAAAAGATCTGTCATGACTTGGTTAACTAAGACAACCATCTGAGCCAGTCTGGTCAAATCAACCTCGTGGTGACAAGGCTAATGAGGAAGCCCTTCGAGGTACTACTCATCAGGATGTCACAGCAGCAAGCACGCAGCCATGATCCTGGAGAGTGTGTGGTCTTACCTAGCCTGCTGTTGCAGCAGATTCAGGTCTGTGCGCACCAGCTCAGTGGCATCCTTCTGATTCAGGAGCATGGCTGAAGAAATAACTGGCACAGGAGGCCTCATCGGTTGCAGAACAAGAGGAGGCTGGGGGTCCTCATGCTTCCGCAGGTTACTTAAAACTCTTTCTTTAGCTGAAAAAAAATTTGTCATTTTGCTGACTAATGGCTACTAGTAGGTCATAATGTACTACAAAATTACATAGTCTGTTACCTTCATAAAGAATGCTAAAGATCTGAAGAATAGCTCTTTAAATCACCAGAGATCTAAATGAATAAAATTATCTTCTGTTATTTGCAAGTTCTGAGGGATCACCCACTAGCCTAATAATATTCTACCAGGAACTGGAAGCTTGGGAGCATGTGGTATAATTAAATAGAATTACTATCCTCCAAAAGTCCTGATGACAGTTACAGAACTACAGGTCACAATCTTAAATTATTACCCTAGACAGCTTTGTGACATGCTAAGGTGTTTGGACTTGACACCAGTGCAAAAGGGATCTAGTAAATGACTCCAAGCAAGGCTTAGAAAGATGGCAGCTATCATCTGGAGAGGAAATGGGGCAGGTAGCCCAGTTAAGAGTTTAATGCAACCATGAGAAATAAACGAGAAAGAGGAAAGAGCATTATGGAATGAAGCTGAGTGAAAAGTACCATATTAGACCAAGGTTTGACTAGGAGGGCTGAAAACAGTAGAGTTAAATTGAATGAAGACCATGGCATAAACTCCTATAGAACTTATATAGTCACACAGTCATTCATGGGCTTCCCTTGTCGCTCAGCTGGTAAAGAATCTGCCTGCAGTGCAGGAGACCTGGTTTTAATCCCTGGGTTAGGAACATTCCCCGGAGAAGGGAACGGCTGCCCACTCCAGTATTCTGGCCTGGGGAATTCCATGGACATGAGGTCACAAAGAGTTGGACACGACTGAACGACTTTCACTAAATAGTCATTCATTCATTCATTCATTCATTCACTCAAAAACTGATTTATGAGTCCAAATAAGAAGTCAGGCACCACACAAGAAAAATAAAGGTAAATCAAGGTAAATCTATACCATGCAACTTTGCACTAGATTGCACATGGTCTCATATTGATCAATCCAACTTAAATGTTTATATTTCTGTACTCAGCAGAGAGTTGAAACATAGTAGGTATCTAATAAATTCCTATCTTCCCTACCTTTTTCTTCACTACACTATCCACATACCACAAAGCTCATGAAGAACATGAAGAAAAATGCTGCCATGTAATATAACAGAGGCCAGGAAAGGTCAAGAGAATTTCAAGTCAATAAGTCAACAAAGTACTTAAGGGACTACTCTGAACTTCCAATTTCATTCCAGACACAGCATTCAATTTTCTATTCTTGTTAAGAAAAATTAAAGAAAATTTAATAGCCATGACTTTACTTGGCATAAGAAAACGTGTATTGTTTGTAATCCAAACAGATGGAACTTAACATTCCAAACAGGTCAAGTACAGGACTGTCCCTTATAGCTGGGGTTTTTCCACTAGAACTACCAATCTATGCACAGAATGTAACAAGGCTGGATATTCACCACTGGGTAAGATTCCTATGTTCAAACTTCTTTCAAGCAACATTAGCTCATAATTCTAAAGGAAAACGGGAGTGGGGAGGATCTTTTCCCATCCCGATATAACTTACTATGAAAGAAAAATCAAGAGTGATACTTTAAATACAAAATAAAGAAAAAAAATTCAGACCATATTTAACTATAATCATAACTCTGGACCACAACTGACAAAAAGTTATAAAGCCAACAAATTTGAGAAAAAGAAGTCGATGTCATAAGTATACAATAAACTATGAAATGCTACTGAAATTTTTCCTATAATCATAATCACAAGTTCAATCGTTTGATATAATCATTACCTAACCTGCTCTCACCTGAGAAAACTCTGAAACTTATTATTTACAAATCTAGGTCTTACTTTTATTTAGAACTGCAACCTGTACTGACTGTCAGAAATAAAATAAGGTAAGTGGTGAAGAGCCCAGTCTCTGAAGACTGCTCTTCAAAGCCCCGGCTTTGCGACTTAGGCAAGTTACATGACTACTCTACACCTCAGGCTCCTTACCGGCTCAATGGAGATAACCCTCAGAGGGTGGTTGGGAAGACTGAGTTAGTGCATACAAAGACCATGCTTAGAACAAACCAAGGGCTTGATAAGTTACTAGCTTACCTTAAGAAAAACCACCAGCCTTCTAGGGCAGGGTTAAGGCAGTGTGAAAACACAGCGGATGGGAGGACACGAACAGAGACACATTCAACAGCTTCCAGATCTATAACTCTTCCTCTCATTTGACAAACTTTCAGGACTAGAAAATGAGAACTGATACGGCTGGGTTGAGGACAACTTCTACACTTTCCCCTACATACAATACCTTCCTAAACTGTTTAATTTTTCCCAATGGGCTCATATAATTTTTAATATAATTTTTATCATCCAAAAAAAAAAAAAACCCTTTTATTTCAGGGAAAAAGGAGGGAGAGAGATGTTGGAGAGAAAAATTTTAGTCTTAGGTAAGATTGTTCTGCACCTTCATTTACAGGTAAGTGAACCAAAAGCTAAGAGAGTTTCTTATTTTTTTCTGATCACACAGCTGGTTAGTGGCAGAGCTGCATTAGGAAGGTATTTTTACCTTTCTCTGAATCACCTCAGTGTTCTACTACACTACATATTACAATATTTGCAGGTTAAATGAGTTTTCGTGGCCTAGCATAGAAAACTGACAATTTATAAAACTGTTTCTCTAGAAAAATGCATTGTGAGAAACAGTTAACTTAGAAACTCTGGGAATATGATCCATCTGTATGGTTAAGAGTTTCAGATACACAGGAAAAAAGTTTATGAAAGAAAAAGACAGACTGCTGAATTTTAAAGCTGCAAACCCAAAATAATTAAATTCTAGGTTGTACTTCAAATGTTCTAAGCTAACTGAAATGTCTTTTTAAAGAATCATGGAGAAAACATATCACAAACTACTTAATCACTTTTCCAATATCAATTTACGAGAAATACACTAGACAGAAAAAAAATGTTAAACTATACCACAAAGGTATAATCAGCAAAATCGAGACTGTGGGGAAACTCCATGGACTGTAGCACACCATGTGTCTCAGTTTGGGCCAATGAGATGTAACTGGAAAGTGTATGAGCAGCTTCTTGAAAGAGTCCTTCAAAGAGGGAGACTTCCCTACCCGCTGAATGGAATGCAAATATGACAGCCTCAGCAGCCGTCTTGAACCACATGTAGATGTCAGATGTTAGAACAGTGAGACAGAAAAACAGAAGGAACAGGGGTCCCTGAAGGCTTTCAGGTCATAAAGCTACTTCTCTGAACTGCCCGTCTCAAGACTTCCTTGACATAAAAAAAATCCCTTTCTTATGTGCGCCCTCACTGTTTTTGCAGTTTCTCTCATTCATAGCATAACCTAACCCTAAGTAGTAGACAAGTTAACAATGAATTCCTAAAAAAAAAAAGCAATTCTCACTGAGGGATATACTATGTGAATCTTAACATTTAATGGCTTTGATTCACATTCACTCATTCATTCACTCAGTCATTCACTCATTCAAAGGGGCTGATGCTCACTCATACAGCTCACCCAACAAAGGATCAGTGAAGTCCAGCTGAACTGATGAACTGCTGGGTGCAGAATGGGACTCAAGCTTGGCCTGTGTCCACAGACCAACGGTTTCCTGAAACTCGTAATGTATGCGCTCCACGTTCAAATACTCCATCCACAGGTCCTAAAATAGAACCATAAGAACTTTAACTTTCAGGGATGAATTATATATTCACATATAAAACTATATATTTAACTCTAAAGTGAATCCATAAGTTTCAACATGAGGTGGTCCATTCCAGGTTCTCCAAGCATTAGGATGAATCACATTTAAAATGGGCATTCTAGGGAATTCCCTGGCATGGCAGTCCAGTGGTTAGGACTTCGTGCTTTCACTGCCAAGGGCCTGGGTTCACTCCCTGGTAGAGGAACTAAGATGCCAGAAACCACGTAGTACAGTCAAATAAATAAATAAAATGGACAGTCTAACAGTCTAAAGAATCTCAAAACTCTTTGATTATATACCACACTGAGAAAAAGTAATTTCAACAGCCCAGCTAAACATTTACTGTTGATAGAGGCTGACAGAGAAGAATACTGAGAATTAATAATGGGTTAATTTTGTACTCAAAAGATTTCAGGACACCATGATCACTTATGAATTTTTCCTATTTCTCCGGCCCTACAGTCTCAGCCTTGTTTTTCCATGTCTTAAATGTTCCTTTTCAGAATTCCATCTTGAGTCCTCTTCTTAATCCAAATACTCTATTACCATTATACCCACATCTCCTACTGCCCCATTCCTGAACTACAGACAACTTTATATCCCTTCCCCACCAATTCCTGAATATGAGTTCTCCTTGAAGCCCCTCAGGTACTTTCTCTTCCAGTTTTGTAAATAGCATCTTTAGCTGCCCAAGCTACAAATTTGGAAGTCTGTGTATATCTTATCTACCCTACAAGTATATCAATCCTAACCAGAGAATCCTACTGATTCTACTAATTAATTCTTCTATATATTTTTAATCCATCCACTTATTTAACCACTCCAGCTATTTCAACATCTCTCCAAACAAGACTTCCTGCCAATATCTTTCTGCTACTCCACATCACCATGCTATCCTTTCAACTTGACAAACTCATTTGTCCTTCAGGGCTCAGATCAAAGGTCACACTCCAGTCTCAGTCTGAATCAGGTGCCACTCCACCTTTGCAGGTGAAACAGCACCCTGCACATTTCACTCCCAGTCTTTATCACCAGATGTAATAATTATTTAGTCCCCCATTTGACAGTAAGAATCTTGAAGGCAGAGACTGCATCACTTTTCTTTTTATATTTTTGGTATAGCTGACTGACACCTCAAAAGTATTCAATAGATACTCATGGAAGGAAGAGAAGGAAAGAAGGAGAGAGAGGAAGGAAAGACAAAGAAAAGAGAAGAAAGTCAAAGACACCTCATGGAGATGAAATAGTATATACAATGTGGGAACAACTAAGTTTAAACCCAAAGTCTCTCAAGTCTCTCAAGTCGTAGAGGACCCTAAATCCCATCCAAGGTTGGGGGTCAATGGCCAGTAGCATTCAGCTCCTAGAAAAAAGAAACTGGAACAGGAGAGCTACATCTCTACACCCCCACACAGAGCTACAGAAGCTCAGAAAAAATTCGGAAGTTTTGACCTAGGAAAGACAACAGACCTCTATTTGCGAAAAGATTAGAACATGTGAAGACTAGAATTAAGCACATCCAACAGGGCAACCAAAACTGACAGCTTCAAGTAAGTCTCTATAAGGGTGAGCTCCCCACTTTCTCCATGCTATTAACTTTCTATATGCGTGAATCTTAACAAATCCTTACACTGAACTTTTTATGGGAGTAGAGATGACTGCTTAAAAGTGTTCAGATGTTGAAAATTTAAAACAAGGAAAAACAGTCAGAAAAAGGCTGTGTTTATGAGACTGTAGATGCTCCAAGAATGAGCTTCAGTCCTTCATATGATGCCAGAGCGGGGCGGATATTCAAAAGGGGATATCCCAGGGACTTTCCTAGTGCTGCAGTGGTGAAGAATCCACCTTCCAGTGCAGGGGATGTAGGTTCAATGCCTGCTTGGGGAAGCAGAATTCCACAGGCCATGGGCCAAGTCTGAGTGCCACAACTACTAAGCCCGCGTGCTCTGGAGTACACATGTCACAACTAGAGAGACGCTCATGAACCACAGAGATCCAGCATGAAGCAAGTAAGATTCTGTGTGCTGCAACTGAGATCCAATACAGCCAAAAATAAAACAAATAAAATATAAAGAAAAAAAAAAGACTGATGTCAAGCTTCTGACTTCTGGGCATCTCTTTGCCATCTTTTTGGGGCACTTGTGCCATTTGGTTCTTGATTTCTGGGCATCTCTTTGCAGTCTGCTTTATTTAGAGTGTTACTGCCAGACAGTGAGGTTTTGGTTTGGTTTGGTTAGTTTGAGCATGCAGACATCTGGTACTAACTGCTGGAACTAAAATGGTAAGCATTTCCTCTAAGGTTCCACGCTGGCTGGGAGCTCCTTGGGAGATTTTAAATGACTGGTCGACCTATATTTATGATCCAATGACAAAGAAACATGGCCTAAAAATAGGTCTCTTCCAGTTAGATCTTCATCGCCACAGGATGAGAAAATGCAGTGGGGTTCTCATGTCCAGGACTTTCTCCTATAATCCAAAAGCCTGAGACTGATCAAAATAAGACCCGCATCTCCTCAGAGGGACAATCCCTGCTGAGACATTTTATTAGCCAATGTGCCCTTGCTATCAGGGCAAATTTGAGCACTACCTGGTCTAAATTTTAGGTATGACCACAGACAAAGAAAAGTGATTTTTTTGACTGTGTGGCCACAATATCCTTTAGATTTCGGAGCAAACTGGTTAAAATTTGTTTTGAAATTGCAAAAATTGCTATTTCTGCATGTGCAATTAGAGAAAGCTAGTTTTTTTAAGTACTTTTTCTCTCTTTTTTTTTTTTCAGAATTCTGACCCTGAAAGAGTAAGTCCTACTAGGAGAACATGAGTTTCTCTTCCCTGTGCCTTGAGACCATGGCTCTCAGGAACACTTACCTAGACCACCTCTAATTCCTGAAACTGAATTAAAAAAAAAAAAAAAAAGAACCCTTTTAAATTTTTTCTTATTCCAACTGTTATTTATAAACTAGTGAGTTTTCTATTGTGATATTTGATTCATGACTAAGTTTAGAAAACAAAGCTATGAGATCTCTTATTGTGTCTGTTTAGATACATATATGCCTCAGATGTGTTTTTGTCTTTGGATATTGTTGCTGAGGTTAATTTGTAAATTAACTGGGTATTTAATTGGCTTAAAGAAAAGTAGATACTTAAAAATCAAAGCACAAGAGAAATTAATCTAAATGGATTTCAGATTCATGTAAACTGGGAAATATTAAATTAATATTAAATTAAATTAGTATTAATTAAATCAGTATTAAATCAGTACTTGGTATTGTTTGTTGATGTGTCACTATTTACACTGACCAACTGAGACCTCCTTGGTAAATAACAGGGCTCACATAGGATAATACCAGGAAGCTCTTCCCTATTGCCTCAGGCCCTGCCTATAGCAGAATGTTGGTTGGGATTTTCCCTTTTGGACTAGCCTTGTTACGGATGATCAGAGCTCTGTTCCACCCTGCAGCCTCCCCAACCCCAGGGTATTTTTACAAAACTGGGAGAGCTCCAACTACATCCCAGGAAAAGGAATTGCTATTTCTCTCCCCTGTGCTTTGGCCTCAGGAGGAAAAAAAAAAAAGATGTGAATAGGGGAAAAAGGCCTTTTAAACTCAAGCAGAAAAACTGAGATTTATGTAAAAGCTAACCTGTAAATGAACTATATTTAACTGACTTGAAAGTAAGTGCTTACAAATTAAATCTAAATATACAGAAAACTGGCCAAGATAAATTTTAGGATCCATGATCCTAGAAATCGTGATCCGAAAAATAATCAGTACTGAATTAGTATCTGCTATTGGAGGTGGCTCAAGCTTGCTGATTAGATAATATCTTCTACTTCTGTTAGGTCCATACCGTTTTTGTCCTTTATCGTGCCCATCTTTGCAAGAAATGTTCCCTTGGTATCTCTAATTTTCTTAACAGATCTCTAGAGTCTTTCCCATTCTATTGTTTCCCTCTATTTCTTTGCATTGATCCCTGAGGAAGGCTTTCTTCTCTCTCCTTGCTTTTCTTTGGAAATCTGCATTTAGATGGGTATATCTTTTCTTTTCTTGATTGCCTTTACCTTCTCTTCTTTTCTCAGCTATTTGTAGGGCCTCCTCAGACAACAATTTTGCCTCTTTGCATTTCTTTTTCTTGGGGATGGTCTTAATCACTGCCTCTTGTACAATGTTACAAACCTCCATCCATAGTTCTTCAGGCACTCTATCAGATCTAATCCCTTGAATCTATTTGTCACTTTCACTGTATAATCATAAGGGATTTGATTTAGGTCATACCTGAATGGTCTAGTGGTTTTCTCTACTTTCTTCAATTTAAGTCTAAATTTGGCAATAAGATCATGATCTGAGCCACAGTCAACTCCCAGTCTTGTTTTTGCTGACTGTACAGAGCTTCTCCATCTTTGACTGCAAAGAATACAATCAATCTGATTTCGGTATTGACCATCTAGTGATGTCCATGTGTAGAGTCATCTCTTGTGTTGTTGGAAGGTGTTTGCTATGACCAGTGCATTCTCTTAGCAAAACTTTGTTAGCCTTTGTTAGGGAAACAAAAGCTCTGCTGTACGGAAGAACCAATTCTGACTCCATGATGGATCTGTTTCTTTGACTTTAACCTTTGTTTTTATAATCACATATAATGACCTGCCTCAGAGAACCCTGCCCCTCTACCTGAAGACATTCCAGGAGATATCTGCAAGATAATGGTCTTCAAGTCCTCAACTCCTCTCCCTCTCTGTCCTATAAAAGAACCAGGGACCAGGACCCTGACAAGATGGTTATTTTGAGACATTAGTCTGCCATCTTTTTCATCTGCTGGCTTTCTGAATAAAGTTGTATCCGTTGCCTCAACATCTCTCTCAGATTCACTGGCCTGTCGTGTGGCAAGCAGGCTGAGCTTGGACTCAGTAACAGTTATACTGTTTATGATTTCTATCTGAAAAATTACTAATTTGAATCAGT